GCCGCTGCCGCTGCCGCTGCCGCCGCCGCTGCGGGCGCCGGCCGGGGGCTCGGCGAAGTGCGGGCCGCCGTACGGCGGCGGCGGCTCGGCCGCGGCGGCGCCGGGGTCGAGCGCGCCCAAAGGCGCGCCGGCGTCATCCAAGGGGAGGGACCGCCGGCGGTGCAGCTCCAAGGAGCCGCGTGGGGACGCCGCATGGTCGATACGCTCGATCTGGTCGGCGCTGAACATCGCGCTGCGCGTGGCCGTGAGGCAGCGGCACCGGTTTGAAAAGACACACTTTTCGATGTGCCCAAGTGTGCGCGGCGGCCAGGTGTGCCGAGCGTGGCGCGGCGCACGGGCGGCTGGGCCAAGGCTGGCGTTTGCCTAACCACCTGATCCACCCACGCAGGCTGCTCAGGCAAATTCACATCGCCGGGACCCTTGGAGAGCCGAGCAGAATCTTTGGGTCCTCTGGGCTCCGGGAGCTGCTCCAGCAGGAAAGAACCAAGATAGCGAGCAAACTGTGCTGGCGAGCAATCATGTAAGTCAAGCACGCGCGTACGTGTACCATGCGAGACAGGAGCGGAATAAGGTGGATCTGATGCCGGGGTCTCGGTGTAATGGAGAGGTGAATCAATTCAATTAAGTAAGCCTCGCACCGCGATCGGATATGACTGGGTTCGTCGTGGTTACCGTAGACCTTGCTGGTGTGGAGGTGCCGACCAGCGGGTGAGCAAGCAACAGGCGGACCCAGCAGCAGTCAGTGGCTGTGTCGTTTGTGCTTTCACCCTCCTTAAGCTGGATCGTGCGTTCAGTGCGATTTGCAGATCAGTGGCGAGGGCTTGGCCCCGTCGTGCCAGGACTCGTTGTCCCAGTGTTGAAGCACCTGAAGTTCTATTGCCAGCGTCAATTAGGCGCCCGACAAAGCAGTGTGAGGGCGACGAGTGCGCAGGCCGCAGCAGCTGCTGCAGCAGGCAGCGAGCCTTTGTAGCGGGAGCACGGGCAGCTTGGCCTGCATACCTGGAAACGGGGTCAACAGGCTCGCCGCAATGGCTGGCGTCTTGAGGACCGCGGCCGTCGCAGTGCGCGCCAGCCTCGAGGGCGGCGCCCTCGCCGGGCGCCGCGCCGCCGCGCAGGCGCAGCAGGCGCGCGGCAACCATGACCTCAGCGTGCACCACAACAAGCACATCGAGAAGTGGCTGTCGCGCCGCGAGGACATTGAGCAGGAATTCACTTGGGACGGGCGCACCACGCGCTCGGTGCTGATCGGGGCGTTCCTGCTGCCCATCGCCACGTATAACATGCTCGTCTACATGGCGCACCAGGTGCAGCAGCCAGAGCGGCGCGCGCGCGCGTAACGGGAGGGGCACCAGGGGAGAGCGCACCAGAGAGGGACAGATGGGGCGTGAGAAAGTATACACGAGTCTCTGCAGATGTGTTGTATGCTGTTAGTACGCGCTTTTGTGCGGGGGTGGGTACTGTAGGCTTGGAGTAGGGACGGAGGGTGCACAGCATTGCGCGATGCGGTTGGGTTCTAACAATGGCAGCAGCGGCCGCCCGCTCCTAGTGGTCTCTGCGCGGCTGTCTCACTGGTAGTCTGAGCGGCCCACAGCAGCTGCTTGCACGCTCCTCCCTTGGAAGCAAGCCGCATTCCTGCGTTGTGTGGCGCGCCTTGCTTTGCCAGCACAAGGCGTGCGAGCTGTGCCGCACGCCCTTTGGCAGCTTGAACATGTGCCGCCCCTCATCTCCCCTCCAAACGTGCGCTCTAAATATGCGCACGCACCACCCCGCCCCCCTCAATGGTGCGCGCAGGATGACGATTTTGCAGAGCGGCCGCGGCGCGACTTCCTCTGGGGCCACGCCGAGCGCGGCCCTGGCAAGTCGTGAGGCGGCCTGCCATGCCCGTTCTTACGGCGGCGTGCCCCCAGGCTTACATGCATCTAGCTTTGGAAGAAGTTGTAAGCAGTGTTGTTCCTCCCAACGTGATCCTTGTTTACAACATGTCGTTGCTGGGCAGGGTTTTGTCGGGGGTGGTTCAATTGCTTCAAACCGAGTTGCTGTCTTTCGTTTGGGTCTTTTTAATCCATCGTGGCTGCAGGGGTGTGCTCACCAGACGGCTCGGCAAGGGACCCTCTGGCAGGCAGCCAAGGCAGCGGTTGGCTGTGCGTGTTATTCCTGCAGCTTCTGTTGAATGCCGTGTTTACACGATGCGCCATGGCAAACACCTTGCAGAATCATCGAAACAATGCGTTGAAACAGATGGACAATACACAGATGTGCGCCGCTGCGAGCACTGGACCCCCGGAAGCCGCACAAGAGTTGCTTTCTCGAAACGACGGCCCCATAAGGACACATGGAATGGCGCACGCGTGCATATGCACGGCACCGGATGGTCTCGACATGACACCGCCACAAGCAGGAGGCCTGGGGGACCCACTGGGAATGCATGCGTGTCATCCCATTCTGGTGATGAGCAGTGGCACGTGTGCATCGGCATGCGCGCGACCTTGAGTGGTCGCCCTTGCGGGCACATGCCCAAGCTTGGGGGAATCCACCAACAGCAAAAGCAGTGGAAAGGGGTTGAGGAAATTGAATTGCACATTTTGCGAGGGAACGACCTGGATGGGGGCACAGATTGTGCAGGCATGTGCGTCGTTGGGGTCATGGCCCTGGGTGGTGGGGAAATGCCGCCGTATGGGGAGGGGAGGGGGCAAACACCCCGCAAAAAAACTTGTGGGCACGTCAAGTCACAGGGCGGTGCAAACCCTGGGGGCGCGTACCACAGGAAGGGATGCGATGAAATGGTTCCTGGCCGCAAATGGGGCGGCCTCGCGGGCAGAAAGCAGAGTTCATGCTTTGGCGTTGCGGGGACGTCAAGCCCGGGCCGAGCACGCCGGCCACCATTATGCTGCGCCGGCAGAGGGGACGAGCCAAGCGGGGCTCTGGGATGCCGCAGCAAGTGGCGCCGCTGGTACAGCCTCACTGCCATGCCGTTCCCACCGCTACCGCCCACCCTTGGCAACGTCGTAAAGGGGGTTGGTTGACTGCTCTTTGCATCTACCTGCGATATGCCTCACTCGCTCGCGCCTCTGTTGCTAATTCAACTGGCTGGGTGCCAGTCTCTTGGCGGGGCGCTCGTCGTCTTCGCCCCACCCGTTGCGCCCCGTGCCGCCACCGCTGCCGCAGCTGCTGTTGCCGCTGAGCCCGCGGCGGCCCTGACCCCTCTTGACCGCTATCTCTGAATCGTCCGTGAAAGCGTTTTCGGGTATCACGATACTCAAAAGGGGCCCTCGCCGCCGTTTGCGGTCATGTTTGACAGTCTGCGTGGAACCGCGCGGGGGCCGAGGCAGAGGTGAGGTCCCTGCACCGACGCTGGTACATAACCAAGATTCACATCACAAAAGCTCACCTGCAGAGGCATCTTGGGTCCCTCGCCCAGGAACAGCACCAGTTTCGCAAACTCCTCGACGGGGAGGGCAGTCAGGCCCATCCTTGCACAAGCCACCCGATCACTTTGATGGTGAAATCAAACAATGGCTGCCGTAGAGAAGCACGTTGACGATTTTGAATGAACGCCGGTTTGACCACGCGCGGCTTGTGGGAAAGTGGGGGTCGAATGGGAATGTGCGTTGAAAGAAACGAATTATTAGACCTAAAAACTCTGAATTTAGCGCCGGTGCGAGCGTGGTACGCCTTTGACCACGAACTGTTTGTGCAGGCAGGTTGAGCTGTTGTTGTTGTGTGCCGTGGGTGTGGCGCAGTGTTGCGTGCGTCTGTGATGGGTGTACACAATAGCAGATTGATGCTTCAGATAAGACCAATACCGCACTGTTGCATTGTGGCAGGCCTGTCTTGATGCAACCACCCTGCAGAAACGGCTGCCCAGTCCAGGAAAGGATTTGTTTGTCCCAGCGGCTAGGGGCGTGCCAATGCTCCTGCCTGGGCCTGTGCAGTGGTCATGATTTTCCAAGCTACCAGCACATCTTTTCTGTGTTGACAAGACTCAATCATTGTCCTCTGCTGTGTGTTGTTTGCATGCACTTTGCGAATTGGTTGTGTTACTGCACGCAAAGCACAAAAATGCAGGCGAAACCGCAGTCCACGAGGGACGCATGCGTGCACGCCCCAGTGCGGCTCGTCACTCAAGTGAAAGGCACCTCATAAGGGCAAGCAGGGCTGCCAGCATCAAACACCAGAAATCTGCTGCAGCGCACGAAGAAGACCCCACAGCTGCTGTAAGGTGCCGCGTCAGGCGGCGATCGCTCGACCTCTGCGTAGTGCTCACTGCTCCAGTATGCCCTTCACATACACCATGCCCTTCTCAACCAGGCCCAGCTCCTGGGAAGGTAGGGCCAACAGAAGGGTCTTGTTATCAAGTGTTAGGCTGCCTAGAGTAAGCCGAGGTGAAGCGCACGCCCAAGCTTCCAATGGTCATGCAAGCCAATCGTCTCCATGCAAGCACATGCCCGTGCGCACACCTGCGCAAGGAGATGGTAACGCAGGCAAACACGCACCATGGACGCAACATGCTGGCCAGCGCAAGACTCCAGAAGAATTTGGGTCACGATGATGTCACAGGCCCTCATAGTCGCACACGCACACACACACACACACACACACACACACACACACACACGCACGCACGCACGCGCGCGCACACGTGCACAGACTCTCTCTCGCATGCACAACCGCACACACACACAGTCTCAGTCCCTCTCTCTTTGTGTGTGTAACGCACAGATACACACACACATGCATCACAAGCCACACCTTAGAGAGGCGCGCAATCTCCTCCTGATCGCCCTCCACAATGATGTCTGTGGTCAAGTCGTCATCGCTCGTCACCATCTTGACGCGCACCTGCAAACGCACATCGCAAGTCCCCAGGGGTGCTCTCATTCCACCTGTCCAGCAACGAAGCGCCATTGCAAGCATGCCGCCAGCGCATGCAGCCGGCCGGCACATGGCAGCCCGCTAGGGACGGCGTCGCCGCAGTAATCGCCACAGGACGCACCTCCTCTGCGCGCTCCCCCCTCTGGAAGTAGTACACCGCAGAAAGCGGGCTGACCAACGTCAGCGCATACCACCAGTTGCCAATGTCCGGGAACAGGATCGAGAGCACCAGCGCCACGCTGGCCATGCCTATAGGATGACGGGCGCCAAGGCAGGAGGCGCGCGTGATAAGGCTCGCTCACAGCGAGCGAGCCTACGGGGCTGAGGCGCTCGTGCGCGGGGAGGGTGTGCAGCGATGGCAGGCGGCGTCACAACTCCGTACAGCAGGACTGCCAACAGGGATTCCCACGTTTCTTTACTCAAAGTCAGGGGTGCGCCACTGCACATGCTTTCCGCACCGCAGAAGGTGTAGAAAGTAACCGCTGCCGCCTGGCCCCTGTCCGCCGCGTAAATGCCCTCGAAGGTAATCACATCCCCGGTTTCCTTGACCTGGAGGGGCACAGTGGGTCGTAGCAGTGAAGCCGGGCTGCAGTCAAACTGTGCGCATGGATGTAGCGTGCTCGTCCTCCCTCGCGACAAATAAGCAGCTGGGTTTGCTGTGCGCCCCCTTGTGTGCTCGCATGCGTGCATGCATGCCCGCATGTGCGCAAACGAGCGCACATGCAACCTGCCGCGAACACAGACATGTGTGAGAAGTACCGACGGATGGCTGCGCACAAGACAGGTGTGACCATGACTGCTCATGCACACCTTGTAATTGTATGATTTGAAGTACTGGAATATCTGACGCGCCCGCTCGTCCATGGGCATGGCGCCCGCTGCCGAAGGGCCCGCCACCTCAAACGTCTTGCGCTTGCGGTTGGCCTTGGGAGCGCGCTTGACCTGAGACCAGATGCCTTTGGGGAGGGGATGGGGAGGAAAGCGGCCGGGAGCGTTTTTCCGCCGTCACGGCGCCAGAGTGGTGGATAAAAGCTTGCGCCGGAAGTGGCGCAAAGGATGGACTAAAGCCCGCTTGTCCCACCGGCTCTGATTTCAAACTAAGTCATGTGTCATATGCATCCTGGGCATTGCGGGCTCGCAAAAAAGCACCGGCTGGACCCAGCCGCGAGCCGCAGCTTGATGCTGTGCTGCACCACCAACAGGCCACAGCGCCACAGACCCGCCGTATTGCTCAAGACCACGCAGTCCGCCCTGCTCACCAGGCACTGACATCAGGAACAGCGCCAGCGTAACGTACAGGCTGTTAGCCGTAACACCCTCAAAAGGGCTAGCTCCCGCATCGAGCGCCGCCGCCGGCCCTGCACCAGTCAGCACCAGCAGAGCGACGCTGGCCGCAAGTGCAGGCGCTGCCGACGAGGGCGCATGGCTGCCACTGGTCGATGCCACATCGACCTCAGCGCTGTCAGGCTTTTGAAACGCGGCCCTGGCCACTGTAAAGCGAGGTGCGGCGCAGGACGTGGACCGGCCCACACGAGCCCCACTGGCCGTGAAAGGGCGGAGCGATCGATGCGTCAAGCACGTCTGCATAACTGCGTTGCTCAACCACTGCCGTCAGATAGCCAATGGGTCGATGCCAAGCAAGCCACAACTTGGATGATCTAACAGCGCGCGTGAGCAATTTTCGCGACTATTCAGAGTGCTAGACAATGACGCTTGATTCGGAGCCTTGAGACCCTTGTGGAGAGTATCGTAGTGAGCCACTTTGCAGTGCCGGTCTTGGTGGTGTGTGGGCAGCGGGAGTGCCCTGAGACAACGAATGGTTGGAGGCGCCGAGCTGCGCAGCCAGGTTCAAAAGCAGCTTGTGCATACCGGTTTCATACATGACATAATTGTAAAATTGCTTGCTGTCTATGTGGCTCGCGAGCGTCCCCAGACGGGGCGTTGCAGTGGGAACCTTGATACCGTAGCCACCAGGCTGCACACCAATTCGCCCTCTCCATGACACCTTGGCGTGGACCGCTTGCAGCACCCAGTCATCTGAAATGAACTTGAACCGTTCAAGAAAGGTGTCTTGCGAGCATGCATGCTTTGAGCAACCACATGCATTCACCGGCTGCAGGTCGAACGGCGGGCGCGCCCACCACTCGGTGCAGGTGTGCTGCTTGTTGGCACACTCACACTCTGGATAACGGTTGGTCGTTTTTGACTCTGCCTGCGTCACAGAGTGGGCAGTGGTTCACCAGGTCAATAGAAACCATCAAGTCAACTCGATGACTATGAGTCAGCCTGCAGGTCAGGTGCAGTATGCAGCAAGCATGGAGTAACTGCTGGCTTCACGTAGTTGTACAACAGTGTCAGTCCAAGGGCTGCCTTGTTTACTGCACCGATCCACTAGGATGGTGCCTGCGTCACTGCAGGCTTCAGAGCGCAGCAGGCGGCAGGGGTGAGCTGTGAGCCAAGAGAGGTTGACCTGGGATTGAGTACATCCTTCATGCCAATTATTGGAGGAATTTCAGGCTCATAGACCTCTTCGTTGCCTGCACTTGGCCACGGATCCGTTCGGCTTCCGGCACATCGCGAAGGCCTGCCCCAAAGGCGGACCCGCGCGTGAGTGCCTTCCTCTTACCAAGGCTTGGCTTTGCGCTTGTTGAGCAGCAGCCTCCCTTGGCAGCTGCAACCATGGCTTCAAGCGCAATCAGCAAGAAGAGGAAGGCGAGTCTCGCTGGCCTTTGGCTTTCAGTAGCGAGTGGGGTTATGAACTTGGTGGTGGACACAGGCCGCAGGGCAGGCAGGCAGAGGCCGCCGGACAGTGATCGCACCTCTCAATGCAGCGGCTGCTGTGCAGAGACAGGATTTCGGCCAGCAGACTGTCTGGATAAATGAGAACTTTATGGACCTCGCCAGCCAGCACGGAAGTCTGATGCGCGTATCTGCAGCAGGGTGGCGGTCGCTGCGGCACACTCACCGTGCTGTTGCAGCGCCCTGCTCAACTGTGCGTGCTGTGCATCACCCACATGTGCGTGCATACCCGCAGTTTGTTGCCGATGGCGTGTTTTACGCCGAGCTGAACGAGCTCCTGGTGCGGGAGCTGGCCGAGGATGGCTACAGCGGCGTCGAGGTCCGCCAGACGCCCATGCGCACGGAGATCATCATCCGTGCCACACGCACCCAGAGCGTGCTGGGTGAGCAGCAGGAGTGGAGGGTGGTGCGGCCCGCGTGACAAACCTGTGAGAAGGGGGCTACTGCAACTGAGGGCACACTGCAAGCTTGACACGGCGCGCGGAGCGCCCTCCGAGGAATATTTGAACAGTACTTCCCCGAGCTTTCAGCAGCCCAAATGGGCTGGGGACTCCTGCGCAAGCAGCGGCTGGCCGGCACAATGCACATCTGTTTGGCTGCAATCGCACTGTCCACCAGATGCTGGCACGCCTGGCGCTTACACGCATACCTGCGCAGGCGAGAAGGGCCGCCGCATCCGCGAGCTGACCTCCGTGGTGCAGAAGCGCTTCAACTTCCCCCCGGAGACGGTTGAGCTCTATGCCGAGAAGGTGGCCAACCGCGGCCTGTGCGCCGTGGCGCAGGCCGAATCGCTGCGCTACAAGCTGCTCGGTGGCCTGGCTGTGCGCAGGTGCGGTCGCGTGCTAGGGGTGGCGTGGTTTTGCTGAGTAGGGCAGCACCGCACGGTGCTTGAGCAGCTGTACCATCGCCGCCGTACTTTCCTTTCTGCGAGCAGACGTCAGACAGCGAGTGGAGGTTGAGCAGCACAGATTGTCATGACAGCAATGTGGCGTGGGTACATGGGCACCGGGCTGGGCGCTCATGCAGCTGTCGGCAAAGGTGGCAGTGTTGGTTATTCGTGAGCAGAATGGTCAAAGCCGCCGTGCCGAGTGTCAGTGGCTGCCAAATGGCAGTTGCAGGCAATCAGCAGCGACCGCCACAGTGGCCGACGGCTTCGCGCTGGCCTGCACTCATGCATCTCCACCGCGGCATGTTGCATGTGCTGATCGCATGCTCTCACGGCTTTGCCCCGCAGGGCCTGCTACGGCGTGCTGCGCTTTGTGATGGAGAGCGGCGCCAAGGGCTGCGAGGTCATTGTCAGCGGCAAGCTGCGCGCCGCGCGCGCCAAGAGCATGAAGTTCAAGGACGGCTACATGGTGTCCTCCGGCGACCCCGTCCGCGTGTACCTGGACAGCAGCGTGCGCCACGTGCTGCTGCGCCAGGGCGTGCTGGGCATCAAGGTGGGCTTTGCGGGGTGGCAAAGGCTCTGCAAGCGCTGGTCGCATTCTGTGGCATCGCGGGCCCTTCATGGCGTGGTCCGCAGCGGGGCAGCTGCTGGCACGCGTGCTGACGATGAATTTGCGCATGTTTTGGCTGGCAGATGGGCTGTGCCGATGCTGATTGAGTCAGTGATTGTGGAGCATCCAGGGTGGCTACAGCAGCTGTTGGTTCAATGGCGGCGTCCGGCCCGTGGACCCACTCTGCTGCGCTGTGCATGATACTGCGTTCGCCCCTGCCCGCCCGTGTGTTTTGGGTCTCCCCTCTGATCAGCCACATGCCTCTTGACCGCCTCTGCATTGGCTTCTTCTGAACCAACCCCACCAGGTGCGCATCATGAAGGACTGGGACCCGACTGGCCGCCAGGGCCCCAAGATGCCCATGCCCGATGTGGTCAAGGTGCACGAGCCCAAGGAGGAGGAGGTATTCGCTGACAAGGCCAAGGACCTTGACCTCTGAGCTGTCAAGATGCGGCTTGGCCCTGCGGTCGCAGCCGGCGCCTGCGGCTCGGTGCCGTCTGGGCTGCAGCGAGGCCAGCACGCCATCCTGGTGGCTCGGCAGTTGTAACTCCCACACTCGCTCGGCAAGGCTTCCTGAATGCTGGTGGCACTTGATTGTGGCCTGCAAAGCAGTCAGCAGCTTACAAACAGCATTGCAGGGGAGGAGCAGCAAGTATGGGCACACAATTGTCGTCCAACGAAGCAATGCTGTCACGCCGATGTCCCCGACGTCTGCCTAATCGCTGTGTGTGGCATGGACCAGGGCGTGATCGCGGGTTATGCAGCCTATTTGCAAAGCAAGAAATCAATCGCTCGGCATCCAAGACGCTGTGTTATCGTGGCATTGAGGTCACCGGGCAGGGGCCGGGTGTTTTGTTCCGTGTTTTCTCCGGCCAAAGGCCCACGTTGGCATTGCTCCCAATTCAAATTAACTGTGGTGTACTTGATGCCAATACTCCCGGTGCCATCGGCGCGCCCGTCCGCGCGAGACGCACCATCACGGGCCCCCTCCCCCTTCGCCACCTCTGCGCCCCATAGATCAGTTCGAAGAGACTCACATTCAGCCAGGCTTGCGTAGTGCAGCGTCAGGGCTTGTGGCGGGCTCGCTCTAGCGGTGTTGGCAGCAATGCAGCAGGAGGCTGGCTTTGCTGGGGAAGGCGGCCAAATGGCTGGGCCGGGGATGCAGCAGCAGGAGTTGTCAGAGCGGGTGTTCCCGTGCGTCAAGCTCCGCGGTCTACCCTTCGACGTCAATGAGGACGAGATCAGAGTGTTCATGGTGCGCGCCCATCCGCGGGCCGATGCGGAATCATTGTCTGTTTATTGGAGGCTCACGATGGCGACCGATCATGGGGCCAATTGGCTCCCCTCGGCACACGCGCGACGACGACGCGCGTGTACGATCACTTACGGACCCCGTTGCTGATCCCTGCACCTCTGATCTAGCAGGAGGGCATCGATCCCGTGGATATCCTGCTCGTCAAACGCGATGGACGCTTCTCAGGCGAGGCGTACTGCGTGCTGAGCAGCCCGGCCATGATCCAGGCGGCCCTCGACAAGAATAAGTCGTACATGGGAAGGCGTTACGTGGAGGTGTTCAAGGCCAAGAAGTTGGTACGTGGGTCAAGGAGGTGTCGACGGCTGTCCGTTGCGGTCTGCGGACAGCGCAGCTGTGCAGTAAGCTTGCACGCTTGACGTCACCTGCAGTGCAGCGATTGGCTGTGATGCCACACATTGACAGCAACTACCCTTTGCCCCAAAGTTCACATGCCTTCACGCGGAAGTGGAAACCAAACCCCCGGGCGGGGGCGCGAATGGGCAGCAGGGACGGCGGCAGGTGTCACCAACAACGCTCCCCTCCTGACAAGCCGCCTGCAATGCACCGCCCTGGCCCCTCTTGATTTCAGGACTACTATAAGGCGGTCATGGGGGAGATGCTGGATGGGACGGGCATGGGCCGGCCGGGGCGGCCCGGCGCGCAGCAGCAGATGATGATGCAGCACGGCTACCCCATGCAGCACGGCTATGCCATGCAGGTGCGGACCAGCACCGTCAGGCGACGGTTCCTGCGCAGACTGGGCGGCCGCCGCAAATGCACATGTGGCGTGATGGGTTCACAGGGGCGCGACAGGAGTGGCGTTGCTAGGGCGCATGCATGCTGGCAGCCGCTGCTTGTGGCGTTGTTGCAATACCGTCGGTCGCACCCCTTGCCGCCGGGCTATCGCGTTGGTGAAGTCTCCAGCAGCCAAGGCGCAAGACGTTGATCAACACCGCAAATATTTGCCGTCAATGTTGACTCTGGCAGCGTGGGGGGCACGGCCTGCAGCGGCACCTTGGCAGCCAGCGGCGCTGCCCCTGTCATGACACAGGCACCCTGACTGCCGAGTACCTCCGTCACGCCCCACCCGCCTGCTGCGTTCACAGCAGGGCTACGGCGGCTACGGCCACCAGGGCGGCTACGCCAACGGCGGGGTCTACGGCGGCGGTGGCGGCGGCGGCATGCGCGAGGAGGGCCCCAGCAATGTGCTGCGGCTGCGGGGGCTGCCATTCAGCGCTGGCAAGGATGACATCATCCGCTGGTTCGAGGACGTCCAGGTCACCCCGCCCTCACAGGAGGGGTGAGCGGGAAGCCATGGGTGGGGCGCCGCCACTCAGCACAAGGGGCCACCTGGGCGCGCCGCTGCCACGGCGGAGGGCCGCAGCAGGCAGCGTTGGTGTGAGGGGGTTGGGAAGCACGGCTTCCCCAGGCGGCGGCAGCAACAGTCTGGCTGTGTTTTCTGGCCAATGTCTTGTCCCACCTAGATACCTGGCAGCCCCCCTGTCCTGACGCGCCGACTGCCGCCCCTCAACGCTGGCGCAGCGTTCACATCATCACCGACTACGGCCGGCCGACCGGCGTGGCGCTGGTCGAGTTTGCGTCGCCGCAGGAGGCGCAGGCGGCCATGGTGAAGGACAAACAGATGATGGGCACGCGCTACATCGAGGTGTTCTTGTCCAGCCGGGACGAGCTGCAGAGGTACCTGCCAAGAAGCTACTGAGCGCCCCTGGACGCCAGGTCCCACGCGCTCCGCGCGCCCCGACGCGCGGCGGCGCGCTGGGCCCCTGTGCCTCAGTGCTCTTACCAGGGGCCCCTCGCCACGGGCTGCACCCCGGCTGCCCGCTGCGCCGTGCACGCCCCGCTCGTGTGGCGTCACCCGCTGCGTCACATCCGCCCGTCCCCCGCCCCACCAGACGCCTGAGTCGCTCCAGACTGGTGCAATTTGCCATGGTTCATGCATGGTGCCGCGCGTGGGCACGAGTCACTACGCTTGCATCCTGAGGGGTGGGCCGAGCGGCAGGGGCTGTCCGCGTGTCTTCACGCACGTTTGGACGTCGCGCGGGGCGCCGGCAGTCAAACTGTTGACAATACGCGCCGCCGCGGCTTTGCGCGACGGCGCGTGCAGCCGCAGCGACGTATCAGCAGAGCCATGAGCGGCCATGCATGCATCCGATCCCCGCTGGCGGGCGCCTGGCGCTGCGCCCTTCCTCCGCCCGGCCGTGCCTGTGCAGGCCTGGGGGCGCCGCACGCGGCGCGCGCGCGGCTGCAATCATCGCCGCGCCGATCGTTCAGGCGCCTCTGGGCATTGACCGCAGATGCTGCACCTGATTTCGCCTTTGCTCGTTTTGGGGCAGAGTGGGAGCGATCGATCACCCCCCCCCTATCTGCACATATCATCTACCGGTGGGTGTGCTGGAGCATTGTCATATGTAATCGTTGTGTGCTCCATTGATGGCTATGCGCAGCAGGCAGAGGTGGTGCAGCCAGGGGTGGGGCGGGCTTCGCGCTCCTGGGCTGCTGACCGTGTGGCGGTGCATCATGTGGGTGCATCGCATCCGTGGAAATGCTGCCACCTTGGTGTTGGCTACGCACAGCAAACTGCAAGCGACAATGCGCACCTCTACACCTCAAACATCTTCATTGCGGACGGGTAGCTGCGTCTCTGTATACACCGTATGCCTCTTAGTTCCGACGCACGGAGTGATCTAGAGCAGAAACAAGCCGTGATCGACTAAAATGTATCACTTAATTTGAAGTCAATCCTCCTGATGAGGTCCTCCCAACGCCCAGGCAGCCTGCGGGCGAGCGGGCGGCAGGGTTTGACGACCTCGTCAACGCAACGAGAGCAGTGAGAGCAGGGAATGCCAACAGCGAGTGTGTTTGTTGCGGGACACCATTGCTGCAGAGACGGCAGCGCAGCCTGTTACCGTCGCGCCGCAAGGTGCGCAAGCCCACACGCCAAGCGCAATGCTGTTGCTGCATTGTTGAATCCCTGTGCGCACAGGAACGGCGTTGAGGTGCCTGCCCAGCTGGTGTGGAGCAAATGGCAGCCCGGAGGAGAATATGTGAAGACTATCACAGTCAAGAACGTGTCGAAACGGGTGCGTGGCTTGGCGTGCAGCGCAGTGGACGCGGCGGCGTGCGGGTAGCACCCTGGACAAGCATGCGCATGCGCTCACTTTGCTTAGCTGCACGCATGCGCCGCGCCTCCATCATTAAGCAACCATTCCTGAGAAATTAGAAGTTGGTGCTCCCCAGATGCGGCGCAGCTCTCAAACCCCTAAAACCCTTTTCCTTTGCCTGCCCCTGGTTCCGCTGTAGGTGGTCACGGTTTCACACAAGCTCAACCAGAGCAAGGCGTTTTGCCTCGACTTCCCTGAACAGAGGCGGCTCAGCCCCGGCATGAGCGTGGCGCTGCGGGTGCAACGGGAGCAAACGGGCCGGCGCGCGTTTACATGTGGTGCAGTTGTTGCAGCTGACTTGTGCCATGCGATAGTGACGGTCTGCGATAGTGATGGTCTGGATGACATATTCTCCGCAGCATCAATCCCATCGTCAGCAGCAGCAGCAGCAGCAGCGCCGGCGGCGGCAGCGGCAGCAGCAGCAGGGGCAGCAGCAACAGCGCCAGCAGCAGCTGCAGCAGCGGCGGCGGCAGCAGCAGCTGTAGCAGCAGCAGCAGCAGCAGCAGCAGCAGCAGCAGCAGCAGCAGCAGCAGCAGCAGCAGCAGCAGCGGCGGCAGCAGCAGCGGCAGCAGCATGAGCAGAACACTTACAGAACATACAACGTCTCTCACAGCGTGATGCTCATCAGTCCCGCGTGCGTGCCCGCAGCTCCATCATGCCAACCCGCACCCACCCGACCCCGCAGGTCGTCTTCCGCCCGCTGCGGGCGCAGGCTTATTCTGACACAGCCGTCGTCACCTGCGACGGTGTCGCCATCCCCGTGCCGCTGGCAGCGCCGCTGGCCGCCAGCCGCCTGCAGGCGCCGAGGGCGGTCGATTTCGGGCTGGTGCCCGCGCGGGAGCTGTTGGTGCGGCAGCTGCCCATATCAAACGTAGGCGAGGCGCCGCTCGCGTTCTCATGGCGAGTCGAGGCCCCCTTTTCGCTGACGCCCGCGGCCGGGCGGCTGGCGCCGGGGGAGGGCGCGTTGTGCCAGGTGGCGTTTGCGCCGGAGGATGCGGCGGCGTTTGCGGGCACGGCGGCGTGCGAGCTGGACAACGGAGAGGTGGTGGAGGTCAACGTGAGCTGGCCGGCTGAACGGGTGACAGGGGGTGCTGAAGCTTGGATGCAGGCGATTTGGGGCAGGAGGGACCCTTGCTGAACAAGTTGACGCGGCACCTTAGTTGCCATGTGAATAGTCTGCAGGAAGTGAAGCGGCGCGCCGTGACAGGTTCAGCCAAACCAATCAATTTTCACGCCCCGGCTAACTTTTGCACCGTGAACTCGCAGCTCTCTGGCGCCGCCAAGTTCCCGTACCTGTCCCTGGAGTGCGCGTCCCTCGACCTCGGACGCGTCGCCGTGGGCAGGACGTCGTCGGCGCAGCTGCGCGTCGCGAACCTGTCGCCCGTGCAGGCGCGCTTCTCGGTCGAGCCCTGGGACGCAGCCGCCATGGCGGGGCTGGTCGCGGCGGCGGGGCTCGCGAACGGCGGCAGCGACGGCAGGGAGGCGGATGATGAGGCGGGCGTGTTTGACGTCGACCCGAAAGAGTGAGTCGCGGCCGCAAGCACGCGTGCTGTGGGGCTCGTGGCGCGGAGCGGCGGGGCCAATCGCCACAGGCTTTGGATGGCAGGAGCCAGCGGCAAGGGTTCCAATACACAGTCAAAGCCTCCAGTGCGTCCACTGATGTCGTTTCCACATGTACACACGCAGGGGCACTCTGGGCCCGGGCGAATACGGCGTCCTGACAGTCACCTATGCACCCCAGGCCAGCGGCGCCGCCTCCTTCCGCCGCTTTGCCGTGGTCACCCCTGGCGGCAACCGCGCGCCGCTGCGCGTCAGAGGCGAGGCGGAGGGGCCGAGGGTCACGCTGAGCGCGCGTGTGCTGGATTTTGGCAGCGTGAGGGCCGGGCAGGAGGCGTCCAAGGTTGTCTACATCGAGAACGCGTCCGAGGTTGCTGCCGCCTACGAGTTCCGGGACGACGGTGGGGGCGTGTTCGAGCTGAGCCAGCCGCGGGGCGTCGTCGGGCCGCGGTCCGCAGGGCACACGCGCGTGACGTTTGCGCCGGGGCTGGCGGCCAACTACTGGCGGCGGCTGGTTTGCGTTTTTCAGGTGGGCGTTACTCCTTTTCTTAAGTGGTGTCATGGTTGTAGCGTAGTTTGCCCAGCGATCCCTGATCCCTCCATGTGGCGAAGGTCAGCGGCCGTCCGCCGCCGTCGCGCACGGCGGCCCCTCAGCAGCTCGTCCTTGGCGCGGTGGCGTCGAGCAACATATGTTGACCGCGTGGGGTGCGCCTGCCCTGCAAGCTGCCACCCCCCACCCTGCCCGCAAACACCCTGACTCATCCCCAGGACGCCGCCCCAATATCACTGGACGTCTTGGGGACCGCTTTTGACGACAAGAGCCGCCCTCCGCCGCTGACCTATGCCCACGTGTGCGCCTACCTGGCCCGCACCGACGCCGGCGGCGCGCCGCTCCCTGGAGAGGGGCCGAACGGCGGCGCCGACGCGGCGACGGCAGCAGCAGCAGCAGCAGCAGCGGTAGCGGCAGCGGGCAGGTCCGCGTCGCCGATGGGCTGCGCCAAGAGCACCAGCGCGTCTCGCTCCCGCTCGCCGGCGGCGGCGGCGGCGGCGGCGGCGGCCCCGGGGCCCGCGGAGGAGGAGGGAGCGGCAGAGCAGCAGCGGCCGGCGGCGCAGGTGGTGGGCCCGGACGGGTGGCGGCTGCTCTTTGACGGTCAGGACCCCGCGCGGGCGCTGGAGCTCAGCGATGACGTCATCGACTTCGGGGCCTGCTCGCGGCTGTCGGCGGCAGAGCCGCGCGCCGTCAGCGTCACCAACCGCACGGGCGCAAAGCTCTCGGTGTTTGCCTGCGTGCCCGGCTGGCGCGACCCGTCCTCGCCGGGCGGTGCGCCGCCGCCGCCGCGCGGGCCGTCGCCGCCACGGGCGCGTCGGGTGGCGGGCGGCGCAGGCGCGGCAGCCGCGGGACTCGGGGGGACAGCGGCTGTCCAGCAGCAGCAGCAGCAGCAGCAGCAGCAGCAGCAGCAGCAGCAGCAGCAGCAGCAGCAGCAGCAGCAGCAGCAGGTGTTCCAGGTGTTTCCGGACATTTTGGAGCTGCAGCCAGGGGCCAGCGGCACCTTGAGGGTGGCTTTCAGGCCGCCCAAGGACGGGCAACACTATTGCTGCACTGTGCAGGTGTGGAGTGGAGGGGGTGGGGCTTGCCGGGCGGCGCCAGTTCACCTGAGCGGGCGTGGTGCGGAGAAGCGAGCCGAGGGGTTTTGGTTGGGGCACTTTTGGTTCAGCTGTCAGGGCCGCGCCCCTTTCTGATGGCAGAGGTCCCCATGCACAGCAAATTTGCCGCGCACCCGGCAGTCAACCAGAACGCAAGACGCGCGCCGCGCCCAGCCTCGGCCCGAGGCTCCTGGCAACGCACCCCCGCGCCCCGCCGGCCCCTGCAGGTGGTGGGGGTGGTCAAGGGGCAGCGCAACTTCCGGCTGGTGCCGGGCGACAGGGTGGTGCCCCCCTGGACGCGCAGCCTGCAGGTGCGGTGCCCCGGACGGCGCAGGCGCGAGGCGCGCCGCCGTAGGAGCGGAACAGAAGAAAGCGCGGGCCGGCTGTGGCGCCCGGCAGCTGCTCAGCAGGCGCAGCTTGGGCCGCGCCGCCCGCTAGGCCCTGCGGGCGGCGACCGGCCTGCTGTGGCCGCCTCTACCCCCGTCTCCCGCCTCACACTCCGCCCGGCAACATGCCGGCGGACGCGTCGCACCCGCAAGCTTAGGCACTCCCCTCCTCGGCACACATTCCTCGACCCTCTCCTAGAAATCCACCTCCACGCACCAAAAATGTCAACAAACTGCTGCACCCCAGGTGTGCGGCCACACCTTCACGGGGGCCCTGAGCCCCGAGTTCAGTCCCAAGGTCCGCCTGGCTGCCCAGAGGGTGGCCTTCCCACCCCTGCGGCCCGGGGAGGTCGGGCATCAGACCGTGGCGATCCTGAACTATGGGGACACCCCGGTGGGTGACACGGGGGGTTGGGGGGCAGGTGGGGTTGCGG